TCACTTAGCACCTCACAATCAGCTAATCACTCGATGTAACATACAGAACTTCTCTTTGTGTTCTAATCGCTAAACAGAGCTATTGTCTCACAAGTTGGAAAAAGGTCTTAATGCTTTAATTGTCTGTTTGGTTTAACCTACTTTTGACTGTAAAAGATTGTATCTTCCTAACTGAAAACAAAAGAAAGGTTTTAGGTTTCTGTGATGGCAAAACTGAATTTTCAGCATCCATTCGTCAGTGTCACATGATCCGTCAGAAATCATTCTAATGTCATGTTTAGTTCCTGTACTTGGTTCTGTTGTTTCATGGTCATGTTCGGTTTCATTTTTCTTGTTACCATTTGCCTTGTTCATAGTTTGCTACCATAGTTACTGATTGAATTATAGATTTGAAAATAATTTGAAACCCTAATTTGAAAGTGATTGCAGTACCAGTTTTGGCCACAATCTTGCATACAGCTCCTTTAAGAATTCGTTCTCTCGTTTTATTAAATTGTGGCCATGACTTAAGAATTCATTCCAACAACTTAATTTCCTCATTTTAGTAAATCATGGCCATGTTGCACTAATTCGTTCCCTCGTTTTGATTTAACTAAAACAAGACAGCGAACCGTGGAGCGAACAACGTGGCCACGATTTAGTAAAACGAGAAAACAAAATATTATATTGTGCAGTTGACTTAGTAAAATGAGGGGGGGAAAATGTATGGTTTTATGAAAAATTTTACGCATGATTTATTTAAAATGAGGTAAAGTTTTGTTTTGCTGACAAATTAGTAAGTCACGGTAACAAATAGGTAATTCGTGGCCACGATATAAATGTGTTGTTTTTTTTTCCGCATGTCATACGCGGGGCTCCATAATTTGAAATAGAAATCTTTTGTAGCATTTTAAATGTTTTTACTGTCTTTGATCCATTTAATGTGTTCTTGATGAAGAAAAGCATTCATTTCTTTTCTTTTTTTTAACTTTTGAACGGTAGTGTACTGTATTTATAGATGTTTACATCATTTCAACTTAAATTACATCAAACTGAATTAATAAAATTAGTTGAATCTTATAAATGTTGAAAATTGCTTAACTTATTTTGATGAGTTAAACCAATGTAAAAACATATGTTGTCGCAACTTATTGATTATATAATTTTTACAGTGTCGTGCTTAATTATCTGAACCTGCAATCTAACGGGGCTTTATAATCCACATGTTCCTGATGTTCACCTGGACTACACAATAACTTTCTGAAGAGGAAGTCTCGCATATTTACAGCCTGATTTTTGACAGAGAGTCACAAAGCTGTGACGCATAAGTCGTACCATCCAACATCCGCTTCTGATGTGGACAAATGTAATTAAGTGTTATCAAAAAGTCCACTTCACGCTACACATTAACCTCGCTGAGTGCAACTGCACCCCTAGTGAAGCTCATTAGTACTGAATGTACTGAATGACCTCAGCTGAGACACAACTCAATAAGGAATCAAATGAATGACTGCTGCTCTCCTGGTCTTTCACACTCACAGCTTGAAGCAGCAGCAGATAGTGTGGCCTGTTTTACAGAGCACGCATATTACAGGGTTTTTTTGTTGTGTTTTTTCGCATTTCAAAACTCTCAGTACAAAAAACTGATCACACTTATAACACAGCTGTAGTCATTCTCGCGAAACCTGATGTAATGCTTTCATTCAGTTGCACATATTTTAAGTCCACATAATCATTGTTTCAAACACAAAACTATTGTAATAATGTAATGAGAATGAGAAATTTCTCTCTCTCGCTCTCTCTCTCTCACACAAAGTTGTGGTTATCGTCAAAGATAAATCACGTAATTCGTTATATTTGGTTATCTGTATCAGAAATTGCAAACAAGTTCTATAGAAATTACGTCTCTTACAGTTACTGTGAATGAAACATGTATATAGATGAATTGTACTTGTGTAGTAAAAAAGGATACTAAAAGCATTTTTTGTGTTGTACTACACTGATGACTAAAAATGAATACGCTTTTTCTAATCAATAAAATTGTGGTAACAGATTACAGGCAATATCATTAATAAAAGTGAACAAATTAGAATTGAGTAATAATTAATCATTTACACCAAAAAATAAAAATAAAAATCAAAAATATCTGAATATCAGACAGACATCAAAGATTAATAAAGAACTCTTTATTTTATATTGCCAACATTGAAGACACCTGATTTTGGACCAGTAATTTTTAAACAAACCTAAAACAAACACCGATCACCATCATGGTGACTTAAGTGTACTTTTTTATTGTTTTACTCATTTTAAATGATTAACTTTTTAAATTAATTATTACTCGATTCTAATGTGTTAAATTAAATTACTAATATTGCTTGTAATCTGTTGCCACAATTTTTTTGATTAGATAAAGCGCATTCATTTTTACAGTGGAAAATATGCTGAAATGTTTGAAAAAAAGTGCACTTTTAATGATCTGTTGTGATATTAGCACAAGTTTTGAAAATATTTACTTGTAAAAATAGTACCAAAGCGTATAAAAAAAAACTGTAACAGGTTACTGTATTCACACGGTCTCCACCTAAGCAAAGTGCACTGATGAAATTGACAAACTGCTTTACTTCAGATTCTAAAACTAGAACTTCAGTCTGATCAGAGAGGCCATTGTATATCCATATTACAGCAGACATAGTCCAACGCAGCCCCTACAGACTCACCAATACATGACGGATCACTTCATACGAACACAATTGTGATTCAACAACGTCTGAGGCATGGACTTATGTTTTATTGTGCAAGCTTCTTTTTTTTAAAATTCTTCTTAATAAATGGTAATGTTCATTGCATGACAAGCTAGGCAATAAAACAAGCCATTGAGCCAACTGTACATGATCACATATGGTGAGACATCACTGTTTATACAGAGAAATAAAATCACGAGTGTATGTGTGTGTTCTCCACAATATATGTCACAGGTCAATAAGCAGTTCACTCATGCAAAGCAGTGTAAACCATCTGCTAGGAAACATAATCCAGACAACACAAAGGTGAAATGTGACCAATACTAAATTCTTAATATAATCAAAAATGATATTGTTCTTCCTGGAATCATTCAGTTGTTATCATACTTTCTTATTAATAACGTAATTAACAATGATTTATGATTTTGTTAGTGGTACGCTATCAAATACATAGATGGCCTCAGACATGAACTAAAAGCCACAAAAATTATGTGTTTTACATAATTATCTACAAACCCTGACTGCTATTAAATGTTTTCTCTCTCAGCATTTTCTTAAAAGATCATAGTTTTAAATTTCAAGACGTTTTTTTTGTCCTTCAAATGACTAGCTTCCAAATCTCACCAGAGGCAACGGTTCTGACATTCACACCCCATAAAAATATTTCCTGCAAACCTGTGAATGTATCCAAAAGTCCCTTTGAAACCTGATGACAGACTTTCTTCAAAACACATGACCTAATATGACAGTATATCTCCCCTCTATTCAGTCATGGTCTCTGCACAGACAGACCGCAACAAAGAGAAGGATTAGGACATCACATTCAAAGCACCATATTTTAACCTATTGTCTGCTGTGAATAAAGCGCAACCGTAACATGACTCTGTAGATGTTACACGATCCCAGTGTTTTCACAGCACTGTACAAAACATACTAAAATATATACAGTCAGGTAGTTAATCACTTAGGCATTACACAGAAGCCATTACTCAAATGAAATGTTTATATGCATTGAAGTATTAGGCTCCAAACGAATTTGGTCTAAATGCAAAAAAAATAAATAAAAAATAGTTCTCTGTTTGGAAGAAGACTGTTATTGCTGATATTAGTAATGAAACTTAACATGCTCAAAATGTCCTTAATAAAAAAAATTCAAAAACAAGCAGTGAGATTTGAAAGTGGATAAACAGTTGACCAATGCATATGTGTTTACATAAGGATCTGGAAAATTGATCTGTGTCAAGTATGTGAGGATCTAAGGGGATTGAACAAGACAGGCATGCACTGGGCTTCAAAGAATGGCAATTACAATCACAAGCTGACGCACAACGTGTATTCACAGAACTAATGGTTCCTGACGGGACTATTCCATCCAATTAGAGCCATGCGTTTTCATTCAGGGGTCTGTGGAAGTATTCCAGCGTGTCCATGGAGAACACAGATACGCATTGTAAGGCAAGCAAACTTCCTCGATAAAAGTTGTATCATGAAAATGTACCGGTTACGGGACCTTGCATTAGCAGAATATCTGAGATGGTCCGAATGCAATCTGCAAATATCTGTTTTTATCTGTTTTTACATGTTTTTATCTTCTTAGTTAAAGTAATTTAATATCGTTTGTTGCTTAAAAGTAAAACAATATTAAGTGCAACCTTCTAGATTGTAAAAATGAAGAAAAAATAAATGTTGGAATAATTATTTGGCATAATATTTGGTTTTATTTGCAATTTAGTTTTACAATATATATATATATATATATAAATAAAAAATCTTTTGGCCGCCAAATCAAAGTCAATGGGCTGTAACCAACATTCAAGAAGCCAAATTATCATTTGGCAAACAAAACATAAAACAAAACAAAGTTACTCTAAATCAATATATCAACAAAATCAATATATCTGCAGAAAATTTCTTTTAAAAAAACAAGGATTTAATTTCTAAGAACTTTCTCAGAGCTTTTGAGTTATATTAATGTTTATTTTTTATTCTTAATAGCCTATTTCTTTCATCATTTGCCACCAAGTCAAAACTGGAGCTCCACTTGTTGCTTTCTGTCGCCATTTGAAAGGACTCAAGAGCAACATAACGGGACACTATGTTCCTATACCAAACCCTGATGGAAAATAACCTTCATTCTGTTTAACACATTTCTGTGCAGTGCTTTTAATAATTAATTAATTGAAAATTATTAGTTTACTTTAGGATCTGCAATTTAAAAGTAAGCGCAAGCACACCAGTTATAAACTTAGAGGAAGAAAAAAAAATCACCAAACGAACCTTGCATTGGTACAGTCGTTGTACAACGCTTCAAAATCCTTTCTGGAAATGAGTTTGCAGCGGTTCACTCCGGGCTGGATGGCACCGAGTCCGCGCAACACGCGCACCTGCTCCACGGAGCACACCACCGGGTTTATATCCAAACGCTTGAGTTTCGTGTACACGGTGTGCAGTCCGCCGACAAGGTGCTTCAAGAACAGGTCGAAGACTTGCGGGAGACAAATGAGCTCCTGACCATCAACGCTGAAAGAAGCGACTTTCACCCCGTGCACCTCCACGATTTTGCATTCGTTTGTCGCAACGCCGCTCGGAAGCGTCGCGTTCAGCGAGTTGATCAGACGCGGAGAGTCCGTGGGACTCGAGAAGAACGGGTCAGCTCTGAAGAGTTTACCGGACACTACAGAAGTCCCAGAGTGAACCGGAAGAGTCGCAGGAACGGCCATAGTGGTTATTACAATTAACTTTCTTAATGTGCCCTTTTCCGTCGTCTACTTTCTCATCCCTCACTCTCTTGTGTGCGTCTCTCTCTTATGCGCTGCGTCCAGAGAGCAAACTGGCAGCAACGAGCCGCGCGCCCCTCTTTACCCGTGTGAAAATTCAGATGAACGGAGCGCTTCACGGTTCGGCTGACTCCGCCTCTCATTGGAAGAATGATGCACCATTTTGCCAACCACATGTGCTCCAATTTATGCCTAAAGACTTCACTGGAGGGCGAGAAATTACAGCCCTCCTCCTCTATTGAACGACTGTCCAAATTGCTTCGATCAAACTGTTATGATCTCGTCGACTATTCAGACGAGACATCGCAACCATCAATCTCAAAATGATTCTAAACTTTTTTTCTCATATATATATATATATATATATATATATATATATATAATTTTTTTTCTAGGCAATGTTTATTTGAAGTAACTACAAATAGGCAATTTTCGCCCAATCTGCTCACATTTACCACAGTAGCCTACAAATAGCACATTAGCCTACTTCTATTTACATTTTGTGTGAATAGCTTCCTTCACGATTTACACTTTGTAATGTATAAACATACATATGCTATTTGCACATGTTGAAAACACCATTTACACTATGTAGCCTAAAAAAAACGTACAGGGATTATTTTATAGCCTATTTCTTAAAAAAAAATAATCGTTTGTCACACCATGAAACATTTAATTTTTTATTTTAGTTGTATTTAGCTACTATTATAGTGCTTATTAATATTTTGAATTAACTTTAATTTTAGTTTTAAATTGGTTATGTAGTTTCAATTTGTATTTAGCTTTAATTTATTTTTGTTTCAGTTTGAGTAATTTTAGTACTTCAACTAATTTATTTTAAGTTACGGCAACATTTCTAATCATCCATAAATTTATCCATCCATTCGATGAACCATTTTTTCCATATCTGTCCAAAAAATACAATATTCACAAATATTTGGTAAAACTATTTTAGTGTCCTTGTTACATGTCTTACTGTAGATGTACTAACTACTGTAATAACAGTACGTTATGCCAGCCCATTCTCACCCCCAAGGCGTCACTTAACTGACGCCTTGGGAAGCATTTGGACATGCTTCAATATCTGACGCTTTAGTCGCCCTTTAGCGTCAGTTAGATGACGCCCTAGGATCGCGTTTACCCTACCCCCACCCCACACCTAAACCTAACCGCGTCCTCTAACTTTCCTTTAGCGTCAGTTCGATGACGCCGTAGGATCGCGTCATGTAAGTGACGCTAAAGGGTGCCTAAAACGTAAAATATTGAAGCATGGTCAAAGGTGACGCCTTGGGGTGAGAATGCGTTGGTTATGCATAATTGCCCTAATGCTATAGTAATGTATTACTCGGTACTTACAATCTATTACACTGTAACAAAGAATCCTTAAAATAAAGTGTAACTGAAATTCCCACTCATACACAGAGAAAAAAAGGTGAAAAATTGTACCTTTAGGGGTACAAAAGCTCATTTGGGGCAGTACCAGGATATTTTTGTACCTTTTTCTTTTACCACAAAAAGGTGTACGTATTTTTACTCTAAGGTATACACCTTTTGGTGTAAAAAAGGTGCACAGATGTCCTTTAAGGGTATGCCCCAGCAGTCCAATGTGTTATACACACTAAACTGTTCATGCACACTAAATTGTGCACGATAGTCTTATGTCAAGAAAATAAAGCGTGAATTAAGAAGCATGGTCCTTGGGCAATAGAAGAATCAGCTTTGTCTTTTATAGGTCAGGCTAAGTCAGGTACTCAAGCGTTTGAATGCCATCTGTTCAGCATCATTGGGAAAACAAGCTCACACATCTGGATCTGTCTGTGGAAAGACTTCTGTGCACCCCTCTCCTGGGACTCTGGGAAAAATGCCATTAAAATACCCCACACATCTCCTTAACAACATTTGCATTCCCATCAGACATGTCATCTCTTTATTCACATTAATGAATTTGTAAAATCTCTTTTAAAGTGTTCTGTCATGGAAAATGGATAGTTCAACCAAAACTTGTGGCATCAATTACCTAAACGTCACTGATAAGCACCTTTATTGTTGTAGAATTTTTAGCAAAATCTGATTTAACTGTATATCAATAGGACAAAAGTACTATTAAATTAGATAAACTGGAAAATAAAGGCATTTTTTATAGTGACCACAGGCTTTAGAAGCAGTTAGCCAAATACAGACACTATTTTGCTATGTCTAGAACAATGATCTTATCTCAGCATGAGCTTTTGATATATACACATTTAGAACACAAACTGACTCAGACGACAATGAAACCATTATAAAACAGCATGCGGATTAAACTGATCTAAACAATTTATCAACACTTAAAAAACTTCACGACTTTCCATTGTAGACCAATGCATGTGGCATTAGGATAATGTGTCAGGAAGATGTCAATGACCTTAATGACACTTTGACCTGAATTTGCATATCAGGGTGAAATATAATTATGAACAGTAAGAATGAGACTTTCTGCGAAACAAGGCTGGAGTTAATCCATTCAAATCCAATTTAAAGGAGAGAAAGAGTGTATAACTAGTCTTAGACTGACATGCTGCTCTTTAAATGGTTAATGGTCAGTAAATTAATCGTGTGAAAGCTATAGGAATGATTTGAAAATGGAGTATTAATATAAGGGTATTAATTTGACCCCCAAAAAAGTGTTCGTCACACAGGAAAACTTTAAACATACCATTTGAACACTGTATTAATACTTCTGGCATTTTCGTCACCCGTTTTCACAATATTTTTATGTGTAGCAGAGTGAAGTGAAGTGTTTCCATCTTATCTATGTAATTAACTATATTATAGGCTATATTAAATATCATATTTAAATTTGTATAAAAAACAAAATGTCAGTTAGCAGATGTTCATATCCATAGCGGTTCACAGTAAATCTGTGAATCACTATGGATAAGAATATCTTAGGGGAAGAGGGGATGCATGTTGCATATGGATTTGAAGATCATTCATTTTTATGTGATTTACACTCATTAAAGAGAATGATGAAAATTTGTCCATGGGATTTTACCTTTGTTTGTATATCATTGACAATAAATCATCTTGCTTTCAGGATCAAAGCTGAATATCTATGTAAAAAAGTTAGATATTAAATATATTGAAAGGACATTTAAAGGACATTGACCTTTAAAAATATACTACTAATTAAAATACACAAATGCTACTATTTAAAATGCTTATTAACCCATTAAACAGGAAATATTACATACTTTGATGCAATTTCTGAATAGATAACTACCAGACACATTTTCATTGTTAAACAGGATTTGAACACACACATACACACAAAACAGAAAAGGCAAGGTCAGTCGGTCAGAGATTTGGCTACTTGCTTGATTTGGATCACTTCAAGGGCACAAGGAATGAGAGAATAAAGAAAGAGTATGGACCATATTTCTACTCCTGTCTTATCAATTTTTCCCCTTCTTTCAAACACACGCATTTACAGACAGAGAGACACATATCTGCCACTCAAAAGAGCAGCATAAACATATAAAAAGATCAGACGAGTGGCCAAACGTCTTCAGTAAATGGAAAAATAAATCCAGATGCACTAGAATAAACCGATGGACTATGATGACCTAGATAATGAAGAAGCCTCATAAATCTGATAAATACAGTATAGTACACACGTTAATTATCTGCTGTTTAGAATCGGATCTAGAATTATTTGCCGAAATTAAACGTGTCCCAAGCTGTCACATCCAGAAAGAAATGACTGCCACATGTAGGCTATGAAACAACAGCTAAGTCTCAGACACGCTCTCCCTTTACTTTCTGCAGCTCTTTGTCATTGTGTGCAAATGAGAACAGATGTGTTGCTTATCTGGCAGATGCTAAAAACACTTAGATGAATTTTCCTCTTGGTTAAATGAGTGTGAGGTGACAGCAGCCTAAAGTGACACTGATGAAAGGTGAAGTCTCCTCCAGCTCAATTTTACTGCTGTTATTATACGCATGAACTGAATTTGGACATTTGTTAGGTCTAAATTTAGTAATAATTACTTAACCTCTGCACTTTCTTGAAGTCAAAAACGCAACAAAACAAAAAACAAAAGGGGATTGTGCATTTGAATTTGAAGTCACCCTGTTGGGAACTTTTTATATCTTTACTGCATGTTCTTCAAAACACTATAATAGTAGAGAAATCCTTAGACTTTTACATAGAGGAAAATACGCTTAATTATTAACTAAAATTCAAATGAATTTTTTACTATATGGCAATATTGTACTTTTCTAGAACAAAAATATTTCAATGTTTTACAAATAAATGGATTGAATTACACATTATATTTATTTAAGTATTAAATATTAGGATTGATGCTGTAATGCTTACTTTTAGTAGTCATGTACTGTATAAGATTACTGTAAGAAAATCTGCTAATCCCATTAATTTCCTTCCATTTACGATTCTAATAAATTGTAGATCCACTGCAGTAAAAACTACTATGAACGTGCAGCAACTCCAGCAGCCAGACAAATACAGTAAATTTACTCTAAAATGCCTGTAAAGGAAGGCTAAGTGCATGATTGTCACATTTTATCTCGCGTCTCCCTCTTCCACGCCATTGAACGACTTAGTACTGCTAGTAAATAATGACCAAATGATGTTGAAGATATGGCACTGATCGATGCTGGAACACAGTTTGGAATGTTGCTTGATTTATCAGAGTTCGCTCAGCGATTCACCAACTCTGGGTTTTCCAAAGCTCAAATGAGAGATATAAAACCACAATATTATTATGACAATGAAGGCTTATGACTAACAGTTGTAGTCAATCAGAATGGAAAAACAAGAAAACGATGCAATAAGGTGTCAAATCAACTAGGCCCAAGACTGGTTGCCCACTGAAGCTAAGCAGGGCTGAGCCTGGTCAGTACCTGGATGGGAGACCTCCTGAGAAAAACTAGGTTGTTGCTGGAAGAGTTGTTAGTGAGACCAGTAGGGGGTGCTCACCCTGTAATCTGTGCAGGTCCTAACGCCCCAGTGTAGTGATCGGGAAACTACTTTCAAAGAGCACCGTCCTTCAAATGAGACGTAAAACCAAGGTCCTGACTGTCTGTGGTCACA